ATTATTATTTTCCTATCTTTCTTGAAAAAATGACTTCTGTTGGTGTAAACAACTTTAAGCCGTGGCCTCGGGACCGATGCGGCTTGGTTCGGGTTTGGATGACGGGGATCTTCCTGGGACGCTCCTGCCGACTGCTGAGGTTGTCGATCACGATGTTCCGATTGGGACGAGGTCGTCGTTTCCACCGGGAGAGAACCCCCGCCTGCGCCTTTGGTGGACGACCTCCGCCTTCGCACCTACACAAAAGGTCGGGTCAAGCTCCAACGATCAAGTTAGTGGATGGTCCTCAGGAATTTATCCTCCTCCTTCTCTTCCTCTCGTGCGCGAGGGTTTTTATAGTGAGAATTATCATTGCATGATGTGCTTGCCCGCAGGGAGTAGGATCGTACTTCTGGTAGCGTCTGATATTACCGTTGGCGTGACATGGGGAATCGAGCCTAAACAGGATGTTAATGTGTCTTGGTAGGCGTTCTGGTCCGCATTGACCGGGTGCCTCATCAAGTCGATAGAGGCGTGATGCACCACCTGGTGCAGCTGATGTCACGTGAGTCTTATCGTAATTATTACCCTTATCAGCTCCCTAAATAAATCTCATCGTGTTGTGTCTCCCACTGTTCCATTCTTCGTCGACGTTCAACCACAATGGGCGATCTCTCAGTGCACTCGGAACGCCAAGCAAGGAGGCATAAAAGAAGTGGTCACTTTGTGAAAGGAAGAGGCGAAAGCAACCGCCGCTGTGTTCTTTCGTCTCTGCTTTCTGGTCTTCCCCTCAGCTAATATTACCTGATAAGACGGAGGGAAATGGAGTAGCTTTTGCTGCTCCCGAGATCTTCTGGTGGTCATGTACGACAACGTCTAAAGACGAACTCATCTCCATGTTTCGCTGCCTCTTGTCTCGGATTCAAGCAACAGTCTGCAGCCCCAAGTCCATCCACCGGCACTCATGGGCGATAGAAGCTTCATATGCATGTGCTCTCTCTCTCTCTCTCCGGTGAGCTGCAGTATCGTTTGCCAATGTATCTAAATGGTAGTAGAGTTCTTGGTAAGGTCATTAGATGCCTATAAACTGGCCCCGAAGCTTTCAATGGAGAGGATAAACCTTGTATGTGAGTGCGGCAGGGTGCAGGTTGGGACTCTCACAAGAAGATGTCGCTTGCCTTCCTCACACCGATGACCAAGCTGTGATCCCATCGGACGAATAAACCCGGAGCTAAATGGGCTGAGATCCATTGCTTTTGAGCCAATTGCCTCCACATTAGGCCTGGTCAAACCGATTGACCCAATTTCGAACCCATCTGCCTCGTGACGACCCAAACTTGCAGCTCTTACGATGGCAACGCTTATATCTCAAACACTAGTTTAGTAGTGTGCAAAATAAATATAGTCTCGAGAAGTGAAAACTCAAAGAAAAGCTTTGTTTCGAGACGATAGACATCCTACGATTAAGCCACATCGTACGCAATTATGAGGTTATGAGTTTGAATCCTGTAATGAACCCAACTTTTCTATTGCCAATGTAGGAAATGTGAAATCAAATGGCACCAAAGCATTTCAACTTTCATGCACATTGATCGATGATGTTGTACACAATTGAACCCTCATAATTCAGGGGGTGCAGTGTGAAATCAGTGGTTGAGACTTGCAGTGAGTCTGTCTTCCTCCAATCGCCAGAAGAAGACGAGCGAGTCAAAAAGCACACCACCAGCTATCCTTATAATATTGATGTCTCTAACGATCTTTTGACGTGCGTTATGGAAGCTTGTGCACCGATGAATGGATGGACAACCAAATCCCTAAAAGAAATGGCCTATGGCTTGTTATATGAATGAATCACATGAAGTAGGGCCCCGTTTCCTGTGCCAATTGGTTCCATGCAGCAAATGATGTCAACTATAATGATTAAAGAGAGACACAGAGGAAGAAGAAGAAGAAGAAAGGAAACTCCATCCACCTTGCTCTTGTCAGGGCTCAGCTGTTCCCTAGGAAAGAGGTGGACGTTTGTATAGCTCAGTTGGATTGCTTGCATCCACCCCTCTCTCTCTCGCTCTCTTTTCAGCTTCTCCATGACTGCTTACGAAAACCAAGCCTTCAGTTCTTGGAGTAGAGAGTGTAGTTTCTGAGAGAAGGCATATCCAGTCTCCAGCAAGAACAACAGTGCAAAGGTTTTGTGAACATCCAATCCAATTCACCTGCCAAATAACCAGTCCAATCTTGAAGAGCCTAATTGAAACTAAGATCTAATGACGGTCTGTTCTGATTGCAATGTGGTCCAAGCATCGTTGACATCCCCAAAAAAATAGAAACGTTTGTGTCAGCTTCAGTTCTAAGCTTCGATGTAGCAAAACTAGCAGCAGTAAATGCATGGGAAGGAAGAGAAGACAAATCGAGCAGCTGATAACCGTCTCAGAGATTGCTGGCTTTGGAGGAGCCACACACGATACTGGTGCAGAGCAGGTGGCATTGACGTCGAACCCATCGATTCACCTCTCATTCCTTCTCCTCCACGCAAAGGACTCACTGTTGCCGTCGCTGTGCTGACCTTACCGCCGATGGTGACGGCCCCCAACCAAATACCAAACCCCACCAACCAGGCGACTCTTCCAAGTCAGTCAACAATCTCAAGCTCTCTCTCTCTCTCTCTCTCTCTCTCTCTCTCTAAAAGGAGGTCTGAGAGAGAGAATAGACGTAGAGCCCACGCAACTGCTCCATGCACAATGAATACACCGCAATAACGTCCATCCATGTCTCTCCATCATTTCATTCAAATCTACGTAGATTGAACAGTACGTATTGTCAAATGTTATTTACGTTAGAGAAGAATTCAGAAAAACTTGCACCATCGATTTTTATAAGATGTGATAATAATATAACACTAAGTGAAATCTAACGAGTAGTGTAAACATCCATCCTATAGGAGTGATGAAGAAAGCAGTATATGATTATTAGACACAAACGTACAAAGTCAAATGTCATGAATGGAATACGGAGACGAAACAACGTTGGCACATGATGTTTGATGCCCTTTGACTATCCTATTTGGTCGAGCCAATTGTCGTGATGATTGGCTCACAGGTTGGTCGAGGTTAGGTTCGATTTAGACGCATCT